CCCCCCCCCCCCCCCTCTCTCTCTCTCTCTCTTCTCTCTCTCTCTCTCTCTCTCTCTCTCTCTCTCTGTTGTGTTGTTCGTCTAGAGCTCTCATGGTAGGCAAGCTTCAACACATTCCCTTTCCGTCCAAAGCAGCTGAGAATTAGGCAATGTGGCGAACCAACGCTGCTCTTTCTATTGGTTGGCACCTAGTCCCTTCCGGCCGCGTCATCCCCTAAGACAGCGGGCATGAATCAACTGCTCACACACAACCAACAAGCGAAACGCTTTTTCAAATTCGAACAAAGAGTAATCGTGAGTAGAGCTAAATAGCAGGGATGCTCGTGTGGAAATACATGGCTTCACGCCTGTGGCACACCGCCCAACAGAGCGCCCCTACGGTACCCATGGAGTCCCGAGAAGCACCGACAACGACAACGACAACGACAACGACAACAATGAGATCTTGGACGCACACCACACATACCTCACGTGGATTCGATGTATGTGTTCATCCGGATCTCCTTAATCTAAAAACAAGTGGCTTCGTACATGGCGCCAGGGCCGCCGGCGGCAGCAGCAGCAGCGAAAGGTCCTTCAGCCCACAGACCCTGGCTCGTGCGTCGGTGGCGGCGTTGGCGTCGGTGGTGCTGGTGGCGGAGACAGCTGAGGCGGCGGCTCTCCGGCCATCTTGCTGAGCAGCGCCAGGGCCGACTTGCCGATCGCCATGCGCAGAGCATGCTCCTCTTTCTCCATAGTCAACCGCTGCTGCAGCAGCAGCAGCAGCAGCAGCCAGAGAGCCAACGCACCAACAACGGTGAGGGCGGGGAGGATATTCTTCCAATAACCAAGGCAAAATATATACAATGCTTCCCATCTCAATAGGTATAGGGTGTGTGAGTGTTGCTTTTTTTGTTTTCTAGTTTTCGTTTTGGGGACGGTAAACACGAACAAGACGGTGAAAACAGGCCCAAAAAAAAGCTTCGATTGGCGCGCTGCGGACAGAATGAGCGGTACGGCAAACTCTGTATTTATCGACCACACATAAAAAACACAAACCTCAGCGTCTGCGAGCACGAGCCTCCGCATATGCTCCGCGCCGGCCTCCTGCAGCAAAATCGACCGCTCCGCCGCCGACACAATCGAGTCAAGGACTCGCGCCCGCTTCGCCTCCGGCGAGTTGAAGGACGACTTGTTCAGCTTCCCCAGCTTTCGGCCAGGCTTTTTCCTGATGATGAAACGCGCTCCCGGGTGCCGCCGCTGCCGCCCCGCTGCTATTGTTATACAAGGACTGCCCCTGCTCGCTTTCTGCGGGGGAGGCACCTGATGGAGTGGCCGGGGATGCCACCGCTGCCGCCGCCGCCGCCGCTGCCGCAGCGACCGCCGCTGCCCCCCCCCCGAGACCCCCCCCGCGTCGCCTTCTTGTTGTTGATGGCAGTGGGGGGAGGAGTGGTGAGGGAGGGAGAGCGGCACTGCTGAGTGCGGTTGGTCTCGCTCTCTTGGCGCGAGGTCGGCGTGGTGTTGCGCCGCCACTAGGGCCACGTCCCACTCGGCTATCTCTGTCGGGTCGAGGCCGATGTTTCTGAGCTTGGCGGAGAAGACTTCCCGGTTCTTGAGGTACTTGGCCAACACCCGGCTGCGAATAACCTGGGGCAGCCGGAGGGGATGTAAATACACGGCAGGGCAAGTAGAAGCAGCCGTGAGCGTCTCGTGAAATCACGTCCCGTGAAATCACGTCCATGCGAAAGATATGAAAACGGGGGAACTAGTCAGTTGAGTGTGGTCCTTGTGTGTTGACCGACGGAGAGTGCCTGTGGATTAGTCAGACAAGGACTAGGCCATACTTCGTTCCCTATCCTCGAAGTGCGTTTGCCAGCACACCGGGTCTGCCTAGTGAGAGCGCAATCCACATGTTGAAAATGAGAGCTCGCAACAGATGCGACTGATCTATCGTTAAGTGTTTTAGCCGCCGCTACAACAAGCACATGACACGGTCAGAGGGCAGTGCCCGCATCGCTTCTGCCCGCGACCCAAAAACCGTCAGAAGGGCGACCGATTCCACTACAGCACGTGGGCACCGCTGTTGTCTGTAAAGAGCACCCTTCCCGCTTCAACGGTTCTACTAATAACGTCTTAGGCTATAGGTTTGGCATCTTATCTTGTGAGTCCTCAAAGTTCTGCTCGAGGCAGGTCAAACTAACGCCATAGGAAACAAACGTGGGATGACACTACCCCCTGACCTTGCGAGCCCCCTCGGTGGTGTTGTCCAGGATGGTGGCCATTTCAGGGTGCCCTTGGTCCCGAAGAACGTTCGCAGCCTGCGGAACCAGAGCCGCCCGGTCCGATGACGTCATGTAACCGTCTCCCGAGCTGATCTTCTTTTGCTCCGCCTGGGCGTTCCACACCTGCATAGTAGAGCACGGCCGTTTCAGCGCCATCTGCTACATGACGACGTTTTTTTGTTCGATTCGGGGGATTTCGTCATCTGCTCTGGCATACGAGTACTCCCCTCCCCCCTCCCTCGACTTGCAGGCGTGTTAGCCGGTGTGAGGTTACCGCGAGTTGCATGGCATGCCGCGCAACCAGAATCGATCTCCCTGGTGTCTTCCGGTGCTTCAACAACCAAGACGTTTGCGATGCCATACCTTAGTACTTGGATGTCTTTTGGAAACTGTTGACAAAAACGCGCATCTTCATTTTTTCGATGCTGCGCCTTTCACCAAAATACGTTGCCCCCCTTCAGTGGATATACATGTATCCGAGCTATAGGGTGTGGTTTCTACCGTGACATAAGCTGTCGGCGGGGGAATAACGTCATCGGTCGCAGATGGGGGTTTCCCGGCGCCCGGGAGGCGTACGAAACCACCAAACGTGAAAGATGAGCCATCCATTGCCCTGTCGACTGCAATCAACCAACAACCTTTGCCGTTGGTATTTCAACCAACCGACTACGCTGCTACACATCTGTATCCTAAGTCAGAAATTTTCTCGAATATGTAATGGACAGTGGTTGCCGTGCAAATACTTTTCCAAAAAAGCGAACCGCGCGCCTTGTCGACAGCCTTTCAGACCCAGGCTGCTCCCTATCGAGGGCCCTGTATGCTACAGTTGAGCGTGATGAAAGACGGGCGTGACGCAACTCAACTCAACCCAGCCTGCACCCTAGCATACCTGATAGAGGACGTTGTAGACCTTCCCCGGCCACAGCGCGCTGTTGGTCGGCCCTCTGTTGCCCTTCTCGTCGTCGGGGTGGTTCGTGTGCCCCGGGTCCACCTCGCTCGCTGCCGCCGCCGCCGCCGCCGCGGCGCCGTGGCCCCTGGTCGGGCCCGGCCTGCAAGAGGCGGCAATCCTGCTCTCTGGAAAGGTGCGGGTGCCCCGGTACTGCTTCCAGCCCTCGCGGGTGCTGAGGGGCACGGTGTTAAAGCGCGTCTTGCACATGAACATGATCTGTATTCACATGCACCCAGAGGATGAATTAGCTAGTTGCACGATGGGGTTGGCGGTATTACAGACAATGGTTGTGACAATAGCGGAAAGAGAGAGCATCAACATACGAAAATCACGGGGCTGGCGTTTTGGACAGGCAGCAGCTAGAGTAGAGGAAGGAGAACGTCATGCACAAAGGGTATGCACAATTATCTTTGTTGGACCACGTGCCCTTACCCGGCTATACATGTGGCTGCAGTTTTCGGACCCCGTCTTTGATGATACAACAGTGATACTGCTGTACTGCTCTCTCTACAATCGAGCGAATCGATGGCATTACAGTCAGCTACTACATATAGCACCTTTCGCGGCAGTGGGACCCAATGCCTGGGGTAGTCCCTCTCCATTCCCATAGCTAGTGTTTCTCATCCCTATTAGACATACAGTGATATCATGTGCGTATGTCCTTGAGAGAATGCAAACAACACATGATGCATGAAGAATTACAATAGTCTAGTCTAGTCGTGCTGTGAGGCCACGACGACAACAGCAGGAGTATATTATCGATGCGAGGATGAGAAAGAGCATTTACAATCCTCATTCCTCGTGAGTTAAATCCCGGCTACAGCAGTAGTGCGTCAACCAAAGCCTTGCGATGAAGCATGGATGCTTCGGAGTACATCAGTAAGTGTTCGCCGAAAGGTGGTAGTAGTAGCACCTAAGCACTGACTGTTTACACATGCAGTCTCCTACTGGGTACCGTAAGTGACACAAGATAAGCCACATGACATAAGATAACACCCCCCCACAGCAGACTACGTAGGGATGCGAGGTCAATGGTCAAACGACTACGGCATGCACGACTATGAGTACACCCCCCACAGCAGAATACGACACCCCGGTGATAATTTTGGGCGTTTCTGGCAAACCATCGATTTATCACCCGGGATACACAAGATAACACACCCCGGTGATAAATCAGGTTACGCCGCATGTATTCACGGGGCCCCTCCTTCTCTATCACCGGGGTGGCAGCATCTTCCCTTGGGCATCACACAAAACACACCCTCCGTGTGCGGGGAAAACACCCCGCATGGAGACCTCCCACAACATGAACGTGCGGGAAGAAGAGCAGACTGCCGCCGCAAGTCCCTCCGCAGCTGCTTCGACCGCAGCAGCACAGGCGTCGCAGATCACCTCGTTCTTTGAAACCAAGCAACCTTCTTCTACGCAAGCGTCTCCTGCTTCGGCTCCTGCTGCTGCTGCTGCTGCTGCTGCTGCTGCTGTTGATCTAACGACAGCAGCAGCAGCTGGCACTGCAACAGGCGCCAACATGACAGCCACCGCCTCGCCTCACCAGCAGCCAGTTGCTGACTCGCTCTCAGCTGCACGTACGAGTACCGCAGAGGAGTCAACACGCGCCACCAGCCAAGCCTCTCAGCTGGTAGTGGAGGACGTGGCGGAGGACCAGGAGCCAAGCACTTCATTCGGCACGGAAGAACGATCCAAGTGAGAAATGTGTGTGTGTGCTTCGTGGGTTTGGCGTACAGCAGTGGCATCGGTCCGCGTGTGGTATCGAAACGTGCAACTGTGGGTTGGCTTCTGCGCCACCCGCAGACTCCCGCGTTCGTGTAATTTTTTGACATTGGTTTTGAGCCACACGTTCGCGGTACACATTTTTGAAGTTGTTTTGTGCGTAGCTTTTTGTGCGCCACACGTTCTCGCGGTCAACACATTTTTGTATGTGTGTATGTACCTAGGCATATATGATTTTTGTTCCTGCATGGCGTTTTGTGTTGCGGAAATACCGCAGCTTTGTTTGCAGCTGGCATACCTGAGGAATTTTCCAGTTGTTGTTCTCTGCTCTGCACATGTGTTTAATTCACCTACGAATGGTAAAATAATAACAATTGTAACTATCGCAGCATTGTTGCCGCTGATTTTCCGGTACCTAGATGGTGCATCCGTGCCTGTTTTGCAATTTTTTGTTCACCCTCACGGTACTTTCAACCGCAAACGGTATTTGGAGAATTGGAAACGGTGCCCTTTCGACTATAAAAGTCAGCCAGCACTTTATGAAAGGAATCTTTGGTTTCTACCCACACGACACATGTTTTCGTGCGTTCAAACATTGACCGCTTCGTTCCATGCCGCACATGATGTCTACTCTTGTTTTTGTAGGGCGGGCTCCACGCCCGGAGCGCCGCCATCAGGAGCAGCACCGGCGCCAGCTCCAGCATCGGCGCCAGCTCCAGCACCGGCACCAGCTCCAGGATCAGGAAGCGCAGGAGCAGCGGCAGCAGCAACACCAGCAGCGGCAGCAGCAACACCCACACCAGCACCAGCGTCAGGAGCTCCGGTGGCCAACGATGGCAAATCCGGCAACATGATGTTTCCCGGAGAGACAGAGTGGGGAGATGGGCTCGGCGGCGTTCTCTTCGGTACGCCGGCACAGAACAAGGGCAAGAGGAAGAAAGGGCGGCTGGAGCTGGAGCCGCCGGACTTCCCGATTCCCGACCATGGTGGTGGAACCCAAAGGAAGCGCTACACCTTGCAGTTCAAGGTGAATGCCGTGAGGTACTAGCACAGAAAGCTCAAGGGGGCGCAAGGACCGGGCGGGACTGCTGGCGTAACATACGCCAGCAGGATCCTCAAGATTCCCGACAAGGCCACGTTGGCGACTTGGGTCAAAGACGTCGACAAGTACGAAGCCGCGCTTGCGGAGGAGACCAAGTACTCGCGAATGAAGGACAGGAAGAAAGCCAAGCACCGCATGTCGCTGAACGTCGGACGGACTAGGACGCACACGGACGCCGAACGCGAGGTCGTGGACTGGATCAATGATCTGCGTTCTGACGGCATCTCCGCCCGTGTCTCGACGAGGATGATCAAGAACAAGGCCACGGAACTCAACCCGAACTTCTTCGGGGAGAGGCCGCCGCCGTCCGACATCGAGGGCAACCTGCGGTACACCCGCAAGAAGACCGCGTGGTGCAGAAGGTTTCTCAGGGTCTACCGCTTTTCTGTGCGAGCCGTCACCCGTCAAGGCCAGAAACTTCCTACCGGCTGGCCCGTGATCGCCATGCAGGCGATCAAGGAGTGGAGGAGGCTGAAGGACGACGTCCCTTCCGCGCTCGAGCTTGCGGACGGAGTCGAATGCCTGGGGGCAGTGGCGGGAGGCAGCGCGAGCGGCAGCGGGGGTGGGAGTGGCGCTGGAGTTCCGTCGGGGCCGAGTCCCAATTTCGCCTTGACGCAGATCGCCAACATGGATGAGACGCCTACGTGGATGGAGAACCCGGGGAACAACACTGTGAACGTGAGTGCCTGGTTGTTTCTTTTTTGCCCTAGTTTTCCCTCATGTTTCGTTCGAGATAGCGATCCCTACCTTGGCCTCCATACATGTACGTACCTAGTTTGAGTGTACGATATATTTGTACATGCGTAGTTTCCGTCTTTTCTTGGGCGTCCTGTCCTCCGCTGATTTTGGTTATATTTTTTTACAACCGCTGCTCTCACTTTCAAGCTTGACATGAAAAATCGTTTCTGCATATCCGACGTAGACGTCCCTTTCCGCTGCTCTATGGAATCCCGCAGCGCACCGGCGACAAGGAGGTTGGCGTCAAAACCGGCGGCAAGGAGAAGATGCGCATCACCTCGGTCCTGACGGTGTTCGCCGACGGCAGCAAGCTGCCGCCCCTCGTCATCTTCAAGGGCCAGCCCACGCCGAAGGGGAAGGCCCCNATAGCGCACCAGCGACAAGGAGGTTGGCGTCAAAACCGTCGGCAAGGAGAAGATGCGCATCACTTCGGTCCTGACGGTGTCCGCCGACGGCAGCAAGCTGCCGCCCCTCGTCATCTTCAAGGGCCAGCCCACGCCGAAGGGGAAGGCCCCTGCCGCCAACAGCATCGAGCGCGAGTTCAAGGACTACAAGGACAAGAAGGGCTACGCATACCCTCGAGGTGTCGTCTACGCCGTGGACTCGAAGGCATGGCACTCCCAGCGGGTGTTCAACGAGGTCTGGCTGCCTCAGGTGTGGAACCAGCGCCCGGGGCGGCAGGGTCGCCTGGGCGGCTACCGTCAGCCTGACACGCTGCTGGCGTGGGACGACTACACCGTCCACAAGACGGACGCGTCTACCAAGGCGATGGCGGAGTCCAGCACGACGCTGTTTCTCGTCCCGAGAGGCCTGACTCCCAAGCTCCAGCCGTGCGATGGCCTCGTCAACAAGATCTTCAAGGCAAACATGTTCAGGCTCTACGATGACCACATGGCTTCCCCTCACGTCAAACGCGGCGACCACGGCTACCCGGAGGCCCCTTCGCGGGGGTTAGTCGCACAGTGGGTCAAGAAGTCGTGGGACGCCTTGACCGCGGATGAAGTCCGCGCGAGCTGGAGGAAGGCTGGCCTGTTGCTTCCCTTCGACGGGTCGAAAGACAAGGCCTGGGCCAACAAGGAGCTCAACTCCAACGCCCAGGGGGAGCCCCTCGACGCGCCATCGGCCGGTGCGGACAAGGCTGACTTGTCGTCGGGAGGCGGCAACTTGCTGGAGGTGTTGGAGATCGACGATGACGACGACACGGGCGTGGTTTTGGTGGACATCAGCGACGGCGAGGGCGAGGAGCCGTGAGGCATCGGCGGCGATGCTGGTGTTGAGAAATGGATTGTGGTGTCCTTCTCATGTTCCCTCGCATTTCTCCTGGCGTGCGTTTCTCTTCCTTCGTCGTGTGTTTTCTTCGACGCGTCGAGTGCAACGTAGTGTTATATGCGGTAGTGGTAAGTGGTCTTGATTTTTTTTGGTCGTGGTGACGTAGCAAGGTAGGTAGCAGCGGCCTACAAGGTACTTGTTTGTGAGGGGGTAGGACGGAATGGCCACTCTGTGGCGACCGCCTGGCAATATATCGGGCGAGGTACCTTTGATTTTTGTGTTTTTAGTTTTTGATCCTGCAATCATGATAGAAACACGGATGCTGCTTGGTAGATGGACCCGTTATCATTTTTGGTTCTTGTCCCCGCCGTTCCTGGGTCATAACGTATACCTAGCTCCCAGGCGACACCTTACACGCCGCAGCGCCGCGGGGCGCGGGCGCCCTCGATCCTAGCACTTNGGTTATTATTTTTGGTTCTTGTCCCCGCCGTTCCTGGGTCATAACGTATACCTAGCTCCCAGGCGACACCTTACTTGCCGCAGCGCCGCGGGGCGCGGGCGCCCTCGATCCTAGCACTTGTTTTTCGTTTTCCTCTGCTCCATTCAAGTCCGTTTTTGTTTGAAACTTTCTTTGGCGTTGAGCGGGTAACACATCGTCGAGGTCATGTGCTCAAGCATTTCATCACCTCCGTTGAGCCCCGTCTCTTTACCACATCTCGCAGTATTACATTACGGTAGGTGGCGTACCATGGTATGTGCGGGGCAGTATAACAAACCCTTTCATTAACCATCACACGTGGGTGGTCCGGCGTGCTATCACCCCCCCCGGTTTATCACACCCCCTTGGGGCTCCCTGCGAGCTGCATTTTATCACCCGGGATACATAAGATACCACAGCCCCCACAGGATACCACACCCGGTGGTAAATACTTTTAAACTCAGAAATGTTCTCACCGGGGTGTGTTATCTTGTGTCACTTACGGTGGTCCACAGCAGACGGGACGAGAACAAGGGGAAGTCTCTCAACCTTATCGTATGATTCAGCGCTCAAAGCAACCGTAGATGCCGACTTAAAAAAGTGTTGTGTTGAAGTATGTTTACACACCACCCCGACATAGGGTACACAACAGGCGGGGGAGAGATCAAATAATAGTCTAACGGCGGAATGGCGGCTTGCATGGGCGGGGTTCACTGATATCGTACGAGTGAGAAAAACAGTTGCGACGGTTTCGGTGGAGATAGCGGTAGAACTAAATACAAGGAAACAGAAGGGAGGTACAATTGTAGCACCACCTCGTCTCTACGCCTACGCTAACACGTCATCTAACCCTCGCCGAAGGCGCACCTGCTTGCTCGTAGCCGCCGTTTATTGCCGCAAAGGCCGCTCCGTGCACTCCGGGACAGAGCGCCATGGGTAGCACTCTGGCATGCTCGCGTTGTGGTGTTGTTGGTGTTGGTGCATGTTGTGGACGCTGCTGCTGCTGCTGCTGTGATATGCTGCTGTGGCGGCTGAGGCAAGGCCCCAGGGAGCGGAGATTCCAGGTGGTGGGCTATCATGCGGAAGCTCTACAACACGCAGCCCTGACACGGCGCGGTGCTCGATCGGGTGATGATCCGTTGCAGGCTCACTTGTCTTGGTCCCTATGCCCGTGTCGACGTGTCCGGTCTCTCAACCTTCCGGGGTTCCGTGGATTCATCCGCAGTTCATCCGCATCCGATGTAATGTATTTTCTCACGCGCGGCACAAGCACATGAGGGTCGGGTGGACATTTCGCAGCAGCAGACACACCCGACGCACCACAGGACGCAGCAGGAAAGGCTTGCACTGCTCAACATGCTTCAAAGGCTGGGCCTCACGAAGGCGTCGGTCAATGGCGCCAATGGCACGGAAGGCGCCAATGGCGAAGCCAAGAGAGAGGTGGTATCTGTGCCCCCAGTGGAAGAATTCGAACATGCCCGCTTCTTGAAGGTGGTTTGTCGGGAAAGGGTTGCCGTGAGAGCAAGCCCGAGTCAACCGGCACCCGAGAATGGCCAAGTAAGTCTAGCCAACGTGCATTTATTTCGTCCGGCAGGGATACTGGGGTGCATCTTCTATACAGTATATCCGCGGGTGGGTTCTCGGTAAAACAGCAAGTTTTTTTTTTCACCACTTCTGCACCAGTGTGGTCGGGTGTGTTTTCATGTAATACTTGTACTCAAGGGATAGTGGAACTCGCTGTCACGATGCAGCTTATTAGAGTAAATGTGCCGATTAAGGACCACTTAACGGAGCCCCCGCTCTGAGAGGTCGTTCTCGGGTGTCTCGACGATTTGTGGCGACAGAGAGGTATCGAACGTTAGCTTATAACACGACCCAAACGATGAAATAACAACAAACAAAAAAAATGCATGTGGTGATGACATGGTGCCAGCGTAGTATTATCCATTTATCAGGGAAAACCACCGGTAAAACACAAATGCCCCGATTAAGGACCACTTCGAATTCGTAGTGATTGCGCACGTTCTAATGATTTCCAGAACTTTCCCTTTGGCAAGTATCGTTATGGTAGTAATACAAAGCATTTCCGAACAAAATATTTAAAAAAACATGCATGCCCGGGAACAAAAACAAGAAATCCCCTTGTTTTTTTGCCTGTTTTTGGGCCAAAAATGGCCTACTTTGGGCACCACGCAAAGAGGTTTGAAGTGGTTTTTGCCCGTTTGTTCTTGGGCATCGTGGCAAGCACCCCTAGGATAGAGACCATGCAATTTTTGTTGTCATCCGGGTTGATGTAGTCTCTATCTGACATACAGACGCAATTTTTGCCCCCAGTTGGACGAAAATCGAGGGGGCAAAATAGAACAAAAATGAAAAAAAAGCGGATGACGAAACAAATTGCATGACCCAAGGTTCAAAAACCCACTACACCACATAGTGGCCTACGCTTTCACGGAAAACTGTCATTATATAGTTCAATATGATGACCTGGCTTAGCCGGAGCCACCACACAGCACCAAAAAAAAAGAAGCATACATCACCAGGCGCAGAATGCTGTGTAGAACGAATTCCTCCACCAAATTGAGTAAACTTAGGCCTAAATGAAAGGTGAGGTCCATAGCAACACGAAGAAAAAAACAGAAAGGCTTTCCGCGATGGAATCGGCAAGATATGTTTTTTCGAAAAAAGTGGTCCCTAATAGGGGGGTGGTCCTTCATACCCACACTTACTCTAGATCCCTCACAATAATGTGCATAGAAGGACTATATGTGCGAGGTTACCAACTGGACCATGTGACCAAGTTCGACGTGTGGGCGAAAGAGAGAAAAACCCTTCCAGTGTCGGCGACATTGGCTTGTTTCGTCTACAATAATATCTGTGGATAAAGCCCCAGTTGCTTACCGCCCATGGTGCTGTTGGTGTCGCTCGCATCGCCAAATAGGCATGCGTGCATCGCGCTTGACTCTGATGGTTGCGGTGGCTGCAACGAATAAAAATAGAATGTTGGATGGATCCCCTCAAAGCGGAATTTCACTGTCGTAGAATGGGTGCGTGTGTCTTTCGTTGAAATACATGGGCCGTGCCGCCGTGCCAAACTGTGACCTCGAACAAAAAAAAAAACCAGTCGACTGCTGCTGTAAGGCCAGTCGTTGCGGAAAGAATTCCCAACTGGGAATCCCGATACTCCATACGTCTTTTACATCCAAACCCCCATGCATCAGCAGGAGTTCTGCGCACTTGGTAAGTTGGTGGGAAAAAGCACGCCAAAGCGCTTCTTCAATCACTACTCACTACTCGCCTCACAGAAACCCGTTTTCGATCAAACCTTCGAGGCTGGAGGCTACATTGCTGTGAGCCTCTCGGAGCCAAGTCCGGGGAGCTGGGGTGGAGTGTGTGTTCATCATGCTTAGAAGAAAAGGATTTCAATCTGGGAATATTGGACGATCCTGCTTGGGAATTGTGAATTTGCTTTCATATCCGAGGCTACCCTGTGCGCACTCCATTCTAGCTGCCCAAACTTGGCTCCGCAATGCTCAACGCAGTGGACTGTACAGCCTCGGTGGTTTGACAAGGAACAGGTCTCTGTGAGGCGAGGACTTAGTAATGAAGTGCCGTGGTGGGCTCTGCTTGCTATCCAGGACGCAGACCTCCTCTGTAGGGGGGGTGGCTTACCATTTTCTGTCGACCCCTCGGATTCCAATCTGGAAAAATCCATCATAACAACTGGCCTAAACAACGATGGCGGGGCCCGAATGCTAGGAAATTTTCTAGATGGCAGGTTCCCGTGACATGGAGGGGCGCGTTGTCCACGTCACCCCTTTCCGTGGAATCCGTGAAGTGTACACCAGAAATCACGGCCGAACCCTGCATTGCTCGTGTGCATGTGTGTAGGGTGCACGCGTGTGTTCCCTTTTCAAGTCGACCGCTGTATACTAGTAGATGGTAGTGCTTACCAAGGAAAATGCATGATTACCGTAAGGTTGCGAGTCAGCTAGAGCACAGGCAGGGGTGCGATCGATTTTCAAAGCGTAATTTCTCCACAAGCAGGAGGGTGCGAGCGCCAACTGATACTTCTCTGGAAAGCTCTCGATGAGATATTTCCAAAACCGCCCTTGTCGACAGTGGTAATCTCCTGGTTGAGGAAAATATACGCTTTGAAAATCGTTCGCACCCCTGCCTGTGCTCTACTTGTAGCTGACTCGCAACCTTACGGTACTGTTGTCACGGAATTTCTTGATAGAAACGTCCCGAATTTTGCCGACACCAGCAATCTAGCACGGGGTTAGTCTCATCTCAACGGAGGAAAGGTACGAAACGTATTTTGCGCGTTCATAATTATTTNTGATACTTCTCTGGAAAGCTCTCGATGAGATATTTCCAAAACCGCCCTTGTCGACAGTGGTAATCTCCTGGTTGAGGAAAATATACGCTTTGAAAATCGTTCGCACCCCTGCCTGTGCTCTACTTGTAGCTGACTCGCAACCTTACGGTACTGTTGTCACGGAATTTCTTGATAGAAACGTCCCGAATTTTGCCGACACCAGCAATCTAGCACGGGGTTAGTCTCATCTCAACGGAGGAAAGGTACGAAACGTATTTTGCGCGTTCATAATTATTTTACGTTCGTTTGTTTCTCGTCTGCGACTACGATACGACGACGATGATGTCAGTCGTTCGGATTCGGGGACGTCTTGGAGGTACGCGGCTTGGCGGTGGCGGTGCCAGAAGGCGTTGTGGTAGAACTCAAGCAGCCGCAACGCGGCTTCGTGTTTCAGAAGCACGGCGATCGAACTCTCCTGGAAGAAGTCGAAGCCTTGAAGGTGAAAACTTAATACGTACCCGCAGTGCTCGACTTTGTTTGTTTATGCATGGCAAACCACACGCGAAACACATCAGGCATACGCACACAAACACACGTGTGTCACATTGATCGGGAGGTGTTCTGCTCTTGTCTGGTAGGTTGTATGATGCTGAATGTGTATGTAGCCGATGGTTGGACGTGCCGCGACACAGAAAGTTTTTGGGCCCCTGGTGGTGGTAGATTCGTGATGATCGCGGAAATTTCGGGTACAGTAGTTACATAACCTTGGAAGAGCTTACAATTTAGTACTGGTACAAGTACTCTTCTGCAGGGGGGAGGCGGTCGGCGGAAGGGGATGGGTGTGCTACAGTAGTAGGCTGGCTGCACCAATATCGTGAGAGGTATAGCTCGGCCATGACAAGTTGGCTATGCTCAGCACCACTGTATTGAACGGTGTTCACCAGGGTGCTCTTTTGCAAGGTTTAGTCCGGATGCCACATGATACACCACGTGCTGTTTTGATCGAACCCAACTCCGCATTGAGCAGGTTGCGTGGCTCCCGGCTCCATGATGAGGCGTGATATTTGACACATGCTCAACACACTTGCGAACATGAGATGCAAAGGCATGTCTGCATTACAAATGTGAGACACACGATGTTGGCCGTCTGTCCCAGGTGGAAGAGGGCGACTGGTGGTACCGTGTCGTGCATCCCGCCGGCGCTCGGTTCGCCAAGATCCCCAGCTTGCTGCCGCAGACCCCGCGACACACGATCGCTGTGCCTCAGAATACTGTGGTGCATGCGTGCCGAAGGTATGGCATGCGGCGTAACGCGTTGATGAAATATGAGGAATGTGAGGAAGTCGTTGTTGTTGCGGCAGTAGAAGACGCGTATTGTGGTTGTTTGCAGTCGTTGCTGTAGTTTCGTTTTGCGCCGGTTCATGCTGCAGGTGACTGCTCTCACAAAATCGCAGTGCAATCGCTATGGCAGCAGCACTAGCTGTAGCAGCGCTACAATAGCATGATGATGAAGAACAACACCACTGTGGTGGCGACGACACCGGCGATGGCAATGACAACAACGCGGCAGGCACACGCCCCCCGGAAGCAGCGTGACTTTCGTCGAGCTGTCGGACAACAAGGGCTGGATTGTTGAGTCCACCAAGGAGAAAGCGGTGCTCGAACAGTCTTCGGACGGAAAGTACATGGTGGAGAACATCACAGGTAAGCATACATACGTACGCATGAATATCATTATCGAGTAGAGTTGCTTGCCTGCGGTGCTTGGGGTAGGCATGCATTAGTAATACGTTTGTCAAGAGTACAAAACGAGTTTGACTTCATTTGTGGGGGAAATGGTGCACGTTTATGTTGGTTTCGTGTCGCGGGTGGAAACTTGAGCGCCAGCACCCACCGATGTGACTTGATTGATCAAGGTGCAATGCTCAGGCTTGCTGGGGGATAGTAGATCGGTCCATACACGTCAACACAATGGCAGATGTCGTGCACACATTGTGTGTATTATTGTACTACTTAGCTGCTGTGCGTGCATGACACTGCCGAGAAGAAGACTCCGAATCCTGGCAATGCCATGGCAAATGTCACATACACCCCTTGGTATACGTGTACCAAGCCAGCTTGCCACGCGACATGCAACATGTACAGGGCGCTACCGGGATGACTCCGAGGCGTGGTATCAGGTGGTGGACAAGTCTGGCGTAGAGCTACTGGAGGCACCAGACGCTGGCAGCACCAGAATGCTAGAGCTGTTCCTGCCGGGGAAGGTAGGGTTTCACTCATTTGTTGTACTTGATAATTGTCGACATAGTGATGAGCATATCTCAACGAGATGATATTATACATAGTGATAAGCATATCTCAACGAGATGATATTATACGAGTACGAAGCAGGTGTGCACACATAGAGGGTGGGTCTAGATTTTCGCCGGTAGCATGAGTTATCACATCACATGACTTCCTGAGCACATCCCAGCATCAATAGACCCGTGCTTTCCGACGTGCGTCAATTATGCATCACGCCACGTTGCAACTCCACGCTGTCGTCGAAGTCGTCGATGTGGCTCGTTGATAGACAACACGTCTTAACATTTTCCAGAACGCACGCCCTGGCTCCTGTGTTCTGAGACGCCCGCCCGATCTTGTCGCGATCACTTGTTACCACGTGTGTATTTCGCCCTCATTCTGGCACGGGTGCACGGTGTTGGTACCTTGCAAACCCTCAGGCGTTCTGCGTGTCGGAGCGGTTTCAGCCCCCCGATCAGGGTTCCACGTTCCTGAAGGTGAAGGGTAGGGAGGCGTGGGTTGTGCAGCGGGCTGAGAGCGATGGCGAAGAAGCCTGCAAGAAGCTTCCCCCTCCGATGGACGAGGTGGGTCATGCTGACACGGCAGCTGCAGCAGTCTAGACAGGTTGAGTCTTGGTGTGGCACACAGCAGCTAGATGGCATGACCATGTATCAATACTCCATACCCCGTACACCGCACCTCGACCTGGAAGCATGCCTTGCGCCCGCCAGCTGCTGCATGTTTTCAAGAATTTGTTCACAACAATGGTAAGCGTAGAGAGGGCATTGACTGTTCGGTGGAGTCAGATTAGTTCTCCCTTGTGTTGTTGTTGTTGTTGTTGTTTCTCACATTAGCTCTAAAAAAGAAAGATTGGGAGCCCGTGGTCTCAAAACCCGGCATACACGACCCCACGAAGAAACAGAAAAAAATAGGGTACAAAAACCACTCGGAAGAGAAACAAAATGATAGAAAGAAAGACCAGCTACCGCACCAAACGAGAAAGAGCGTCGAGGAGACCGATCAAAATAAAATAAAAGGAGAACGGGGAACGCTTCCCACACCCGCCTACAACGCCGGAGGGTTCCGTGCCGGGTTCCCGCCGACCAGGCATCCGTGTGTGTAGGGGTGGGTGTCTCTCGAGCCGGAAGAGTCCGCAGGACACCATGACTGACGTTTGCTATATCGTATTGCTGTTGCTGCAGTCAAGTACAGCTTTGGAACAGACCTTTTTCCACACCTAAAGCACCTTATTTTTCAGACCTAGGGTAACCTAACCTAACCCCATGCTGCCTTTCATTGCCTACCCACACGTATTGTACGGATAGCAAGTCATGCACACTCTTCCTTCTTCCTTGACGCCGCCCGCTCGGTCGCCTTTGGACACGGGCAGCAGCTAGCAGTAGGGCGCGCGCTATGTAGCCGACGCCGCGCTCACGCGTGACGTGTGCGTTCGTTGAATGGTTCATTCGTTCGTTCCTTCGACGCCACCAGGCGGTGGAACAGTGGTATCGCGTGCAGTACCCGGGAGGGGTTCGGTTGCGAGCATCCCCTGCATTTGAGCACACCGACCCTTCTCTCGGGGTCCTCGTGTGCGGGTGGGTGTTCCTAGCGACAAGGTGCTACCGTGCACCGGGGAGTAGCCACATGCTGTTGCAGGTATGTACAGGTTGAATATTTGATGTTTGACGCCTTGCAGGTGTAGACTTGGTTAGTGTGTGTGTGTGTGAGAGAGAGAGAGAGAGACATGTTGAGGAGGGTTTGAAGGTGGTAAAGGTAAAAGAGCAGGGCGTAGTTGCATGAGTAGGTAATATTTTGACTACTGTTCTCACAACTTGCTCTCCGGCAGCAGTATTATAAAAAATGAATGAACTGTTTATTTTGTTTTGTTTTGTGGTGTTTCTTTGGTCAAATCGCGAAACGTCGAGATGGGATGTTTTCTTTCTCTTTCGGTGAGGTGTGCCTCCAGATGGCATATTTCGTGGCACATGTTTCGTGTAGGTGCTAGATTGGCGGGATAGCGTACGGGGACAACAAAGGGTACAGGAGTGTGCTGTGCGGCGGCTCGTCGAGCGCAAAGCTGTTTGGATTTTATCTCGTTCTTTGATTCTTGAGCGAGCACGCCGCACACTGTTCACATCCAACCTGCTCGGTTTTTATTGTCCTTCGAGACAACACACGTGCTTGGGATCAGCAACCGCGTGCACACCTGCTGCACGTCCCTCCTTTCGAATCAACTACCAGGTAGCCACGCCAGAGGGCGTCGTGCGAGACTCTTCCTCCGAGTATGGGGAAACCGTTGACGTGCACGGCAGCAGCAGTGATGATAGCGATGGGGACAACGAGGACGAGATTGAGCAAGCAAGAAGGGCGGCGAGGCGGCACTGCGGTTGGGTACCGTCCACTTCCAACGGGGAAGAGGTGAGCAGCGGTTCCGTGTGGCGGGCACAACAAATGAGAGGTAGACGCTGTCTGTAAGATGACGTTGTATGCATGTGATGCACCCTACAGTGGGTAGTGTCCGTGATACTGCTTGCATGTGATACACGTTACGTAAGAGTAGTTTTCCTTGTTGAGAGAAGACGGGGAAGTAGGCACTATTTTTTTTTTGAGTATGATGGGTATTTTCTCTGGATGTTTTTGCCGATAGTGTAGTCTCTCGCTTTCACAATTGTGCTGGGCTGTCCCAGGATCGTGTCTGTAAGAGGGTGTGGCTTTGGCGTGTAGTTGGAGACATGGTGATGCTGACATGATGGAATGGAATGGCACGGCGGTTCTTGCTGCGACACGCATTATAACATGTGCATTTCATCGCGTGCATCACATGCAGGTGGTGGCCGAAACCATGGAGCCGTGGATAGAGCGAGGACTCTTCCCTTACCAGGCATGTGGCATACAAGTAGTAGTGCACACAGTACATTACAGCTACTGCACCTCTCACGGATGTGTAGTTCGCCTTGATGAGTTTGCTCGGTTGCCGCTTGTGGCAGTTCATCTCGCTGCTGTGATGTCATGTGGGAAGCGTCACTGCTGTGGCGCTTATCGGATGCGCTCGGCAAGAAAATTCCGTCGCCATGCTATGTATAGACCATTTCCGTAATTATCGGATGCGCTCGGCAAGGACAATACGTCGCCAGGCTATTTATAGACCTTTTCCGCAATACCTAGAGCGGCGAAAAGGGCTTGAGTGAGATGGGTGCTGTAGACACTTGTCGAAAAGTGTCACGAGACTCAACAGGTGCTCGTGGTTGACACCCGGTACCCCGGCCGGAACACGTCGCGCTTATGGTGCCATCTTCCATGTTCCGTGCGCTCCAACTACCGAACTCGAGAGGCGTGGAAGACTATTCGCAACGTAAGGTGTTGCAGAGATGCATGCTCCGCGCTGTTTCGTAAACTATTTCGGCAATCCTCACGCCGTGTCACGTGCTTGTCTGGAATTTACAGGTCGTCGTAGACGAGACCCTGTTGGCAAAGACCGGGCCGCACATTAACGCGCCAGGAAGCCCCCAGCAGCTTCCCCCCTACAGCGTGGCCGCTGCGGTGAGAAGAGAAGAGAAGAGAAGAGAAGAGAACGGAAGAGGCGTGGGGTGGGTGGTAGGCGACGAATTTGGTGGAGGAAGAGAAAGGGCACCGAGAGTGTGTACACGCGCGTGTGTTGGTGTGTTTTCCCCTTGACTACGGCATCGATTGGCTGCCTGACGAATGGCAAGGAGTGAGTGACAGAGTGGGAGACCGGTACAACCCCTTCCGCCACGTGTAGATGGCCTTTCGTATCATTTACCCCTTTATCCCTTTATCACCCCCCCCCCCCCCCCCCCCCCCCCCCCCCCCCCCCCCCCCCCCCCCCCCCCCCCCCCCC